GTAAGTGAAGCAATACAGACAACTGCAAGGCTCACAGAAAGCAAAGCAATGATACAGTCAAACAACTCTGTAAATGATTTACCTAGAGACTCGGTCTAAACCCTCAAGTTATAGCTGGACACTATCAGATGGCAGCTCCACCAGGAGCTCGCAGTCTCTTTGCCATTTTAGCCTCGGTCCTGTTACTGATGTTTGTGAATGTAGACCTTTCCAAGTCACTAGCTTTGGTGGGTTCTGATTTTCTGTGGGGAGCCCCGTCTGCTCCCTGAAGTTATCCTACTGATATAGTGCTACATTAGTTGGGGTCATCAGTCGCAGAGTTCCTGTTGTCTACCAGGAACCAGAGCCAGAACCTGGCCCCCCGCAAAGAGGCACAGAAAGCAATAGCCTATGAGAACTTTACATTTAAAGAACTGCATGTCATATTTTGCCATCTACCGGGGAAGGCACCTAGAAAGGTAGGCAAACCAATACAGACCACTGTCTGGTTGAAAATTGCGAGCTTTGTCCTCAAAATAGCAAAAGAACTCTCCCAGAAAGAAAACAAACAAGAAACGCATCAAACAACTAGTCCCCTCCTGCTCATTAGTGCTACGTACCCCCCATTCTGCATGGGAGGGGAGTCTTTGCAGGTGAACCGGCAACCCACCACCTCAGTTCTTGACTGATGTGCTATGGGGGGTCGTCATGCTCTAATGAATTTTTACTTTAACCATTGCACTGCGCAGAGCACCTTGAGGCGTTGGATCGAGGGTGCGCAGAGCACCATATGGCGTTTGTAGGTACAGTATAGGGAGCGATTCAAAACTCCCGCGGATACATGGGGCTCACATCCAAGACTCCTCAGGCCTCCTGTAAACAGACGCCATCTTGGAAAAAAAAATCGTCAGCATCTGTGCTGGCTCTGAGAGTTTTCGTACTGAGAGAGCGACCAAGGCTGGTGATTGCAGGAGCCTCGCACATCACTGCTGTGCAGCTAGGGGCCACAGCACCACTTATTAATTATGATAGGTAATGGAAATTATTTTGCGTTGATAGTGTTCTAGATGACCCTAACTGTGATAAAGACTAAATACAACATTCAGATATCAGTGAACACAATGTTAGTTATGATATTCACAGCATGAGGTAGATACACAACACCCAGCCATTGTTTCCTGCATCTACGCATCAGGAAACGACCTTATGTTCCGTCACCAGTGTTCATTTTGTTATGGAAATGGATTCATATTCAGGATTTTGTGACAGGAATGTGGTATAATAACAGCGGTTGTGTAGCTAGTCATAGTGAGATGAGTAGTATATTGGAGGCACTGTCTTTCATCATGTGACTGTTGACGTCATCTGCTTGTGGCTCCATGCTGTGTTTTGATTTCATCACCATACTGAACAGAACTGCTTATTAGTATGTTATGATGCATATAAAAGTTGATAGTGATATATAACATGAGTATATAGTGTAATAACAATAGAAACACTGGTGTTCCTTGAATTCTTTTTCTGTGTATATAAACTCTCAACACACGATCTTTGTGGTTCATTATGGTGCTCAAACATGTAGATAGGTATATACAATGTGAGTATTAAGTGTAATAACAGCAAAAACACTGATTGATCGTATAATATAATATACATGTCACATATATGATCCCCATAATTTTGAGTATAGCTATGTTCCATACATTGAACTACAGGGGTACCTTGGTTACTTTAATCCGTTCCTGGAGACGGTTCGTAACCCGAAGCTTGTAAACCGAAGCTAATTTCCCCATAAGAAATAATGGGAAATGAATTAATCCGTTCCTGACTCCCAAAAAACTTCACTTTAAAGTAAATTTTATACCTAATTCACCCAAATCTACACTACAAAAGTATGTTCAAGTTATTATTCACCCTTGCTGATGACTGCTGTTAGCATATGGAGGATGGTGAGGAGGAGGGGGGAGGAGGAGAGGGGTTACTGTTTGGAAGGGGAGTCCTGTTCCATTATAATATCAGGCAGTAAAGATTTTTCTGGAGTGCACTCTCTGGCACGTTTTGCCTGCATACCACTAGGTCCTGGTTGTGGCTCACTGCTTGATTTTCTCACAATGACACGATCCATTGAAGATTGTTTTTCCCTTCTTCACAACATTTGTCTGTAGTGAGGCATCACATTGTCATTGAAAAGATTAATGCAACGGCCTACTGCAGCTTTCTCTGGGTGAGTCGTTTCAATTAAAGTTTGCATTTCTTCCCACATCTGACACCACTTCCTAATTGTTGAGGAAGGGACTTTCTCTTCTGCCTCATCCTCCTCTGGAAATATATCCCCAGCTGCCTTTTGTTGCTGCTCCTTTTCAAGGGCTTGGAGTTCTTCAGTGGTCAGTTCTTCATTGTGTCCTTCCACCAACTCCTCCATCAGCACCATCCAATTCCAAGCCCATTTCTGGGGGAGCCCCATCGGCTCCCCGAAGCTATCCCGGGCTGATATGCTGATGTCAGACTTTGGCATCAGTCATGTGTATGGAGTTCTTAGGCCTACCGGGGACCACGGCCGGAATCAGGCCCCCTCAGAGAGGCAAGGGGAGCAATGGCCTATAGAAGCCCCCGTGTGGTTGGAAGCATTCTATGTCTGCCATCGACTGGAACAGGCATCCAGAAAGGTAAGCGCCTCAAAACAGACCCGTATTCTGGTTAAAATTGCTACCAAAAGCCGAACTAGTGGATAGAACTCCCCAACAGAAAACAAGCAACTAGTGTGACGCCACACGCCGCCACGCCATTATCTGTGCAACTTCCCCCTCCCCGGGAGGGGGTAAGGGGAGCCCCAGACCCTCCACGCCGGCTACACACACCTCAGTTCTTGAGGCTGATGCAATAGGCGAAGGTCATGTGCTCTGGCTCCGGTGTCGCTACAGCACTGTGCTTTGCGTGTGGTGTTTGTTTCTGTTGGGTGCGAGAGCCAGGAGTTATCTTCAGTACTTGGGCTGCATGCGCCTAGGGATTCCTTCCCTAGGTGCCCTGTAAGTACTGCCCTTGGGGCTTGGGGTCACCTTCCACAGGCTCCTTGGGGTCTGCCTCTGCTGGTCCGTTTTACCTTTTCGGTTTTTCGGCCGCCTGTTGGGCTCTTGGGTGTTCTGTTCTCCCTTGTTACCGGCAGGTAAGAGGCAGTTTGCACTGGTAGGGGTGCAGGGTGCTGCACAGCTTGTATTCCGACATAGCGGCCGGCTCTGTTCCTTGGGGTTCGCTGTCCTCTTGCGGGGTTTTTTTTTTCTTTTTGTTTTTGCCTGGTGGGGGGGGTTCTGTCCTATTATTACATTAGTTTTTGCCCTTCCACTGTTCTCCTCGGTGGCGCCCCCTGCTAGGTCCCCGTGAGTGTACACGTCCCTTGGGTACAGCTATAGAAGTTCGCTTGGTAGTTTTGGGCGCCGGTTAGCAGTGCCCTGCCTGGGACTACCTGAACGCAAGTCCTCTTAAAGTAAACGCTCAGGACCCTGGGAATTCCCTAGGGGGCGCGTGGGTCCGATGGATGTGACTCCAGAGTCCCCGCTCGCTGTGTGCGAGTTTGAGGGTTGCTCGGTCCCCTTGTCTCAGGGTGACCCTCATTGTTTTTGTCTCCGCCACGCTGCCTGTTGGGTGGGTGATACTTTCGACCCTGAGTCCTGTGAGTGTTGCTGCTTGCTTGTGATTCAATTTACCCAATCCTCTGATGATTCTCTTCGGGTACAAGCGGCACGTGCGTTGCAGTCTAGGTTTCGTCAGGTTGGTTGCTCACCCGGATGCCCTGGGGCTGCCCCGCTTTGCTTTTCGAGACCCGGACTTGGGGGTGCGGGTCGCTTCGATCCTGGTTCAGTCCGCACCTCCTCGACCTTCCCCTTCTGTTCGTTCTGGTCCCCCCCCTCCCTGCTTCCGGCCCTGAAGCGTCTGAGGGTTTCGGGGTCGGAGCAGGGGTTACTTGATCTCGAGACTCGGGCAGCTTCGGGGGGTGCCCCTTCCGGGAGGGCGGCAGAGGCATTTGAGTCTTGTCTCCCGGCCGAAGCTGCTAGGTCTGACCAGTGGGCCCCCCTTCCTCCAGCTTTTCCGGCTGCTCCGTCCTTGTCGTGTGGGGTCAGGGCTTGGGGAGAGGACTCGGCCTCGGGTCCTGTGGTGAAGGACCTCGAGGTTGGGGAGGGGCTGACTTGGGGGCCTTGGGCCCCGCTGGACCCCGCCTGGGTTTTTCTTCCCTCTGAGCGGGGCTTATTGTTACAAGGTTTGGGGTTTTCTTTTCCCCCCTCTGCATACGAGTTGGATTTGGTGTCGGCCCCTCCCCGGGTTCGGTTCGGTGTTCCCCCGGGTACGTCGGTTCCGTCTTTCCAGAGGTTTTCGGCTTATCGCATCCAACCTGGTGTGGTGCGGGCGGCCTTTGCAGCTTACCTCCTGCGTGGCCCGGATTATGCCTCGGAAATGGATCCGTCCGAGTTCAGGTTTGGGACTTCGTTCCCTTTCTGGCTCCGTTACGAGGTTCCGGAGTCTTCCTGGCTAGCGGACTGCCCCTTGTTTGTTCTGGATTCCTGGCATTCCTTCTGTCGTTCCCGCACGCTGGAGTGGCGGGAAGCTTCCACGGTGCTTCAGGTTTTCCTGGGGGGCGATTTTGAGTACCTGAATGAGTGCTTGTTTGCCCCTGCCCTTCCCCGCGATGTGGGCGTTATTCAGCTCCATGTGCAGGTTCCCACCCTTTTGGCGGTGCTCATTGCGGAGGACTTGCATGCCCGGGGCCTTTTGGCTTCGGCCTTGTGGTTCTTTTCCCTCCTAGAGCTGTCCTCGGATTGGCTCGTGGAGGATGTGAGGACGCTTGGGTCCATCCCGGCGTCTGGCGCCTTGTCCTCGGCAGTGCGTACCTTGGCTACTTTGTTGAAACTGTTCACGCCGATTTTGCAGGATGCGGTTTCCCTGTTTTATGCTTCCCATCTCGCGTATCGGCAGATGGTGCTGGGTTCCTCCGTGGAATCTGCTTGGGCTCTGGCTCTTAGGCGGTCTTC